CGTCCCGGACCTGGTGGCTTAAAACTCATGCCGGGTGCATGTGCGTGCGTGCCCAAGATCCCAAGAGGAGAACGGAGGAGAAGGGACTGCGGCGTGACCATCCCCCCTGGGGGGTGATTTCTTGCTTTCTGTCTCTCTGTCTGTGTCTGTCTGGCGAGCACACGTGCCCTGTAGCAAAAACCTCTCCAAAAAAAAAAAAAAAAACACAAACCCTTAAGACAATGGAACCTTAAAATTCTGAGGGAAAATTATTTCCAACTTTGTTATTTTTATATGTAGACATAAATTATATATATATGTGCGTGTATTTTAAAAAATTTATTATTTTCAACTTTAGACCCAGCCAAATTGTGTGATGTCTGAATAAAATTTCCAAAAATTTCTTTCTGATCAAAGATGTGTTCCAGGGGGGCCACCAGTTAGCGTAATGGCTATGTCGCTGGACCCCCATGTAGTTGACTGCGGTTCGCCTCCTAGACCCGGTGGCTTAAAACTCATGCCGGGCGCGTGTGTGTGCATGCCCAAGATCCTGAGAGGAGAATGGAGGAGAAGGGATTGCGGCATGACCATCCCCCCTGGGGGGTGATTTCTTGCTTTCTGTCTCTCTGTCTGTGTCTGTCTGGCGAGCACACGTGCCCTGTAGCAAAAACCTCTCCAAAAAAAAAAAAAAAAAAATCTCAGGACAGCAGTGACAGCAGGTCCCAAGAGCAGCCCAGTCAGGTCAGAGCAGAAGACAGGAAAACCAGGAAAAATATCAAACTAAGAGATTATCTAGTGTGTTTTCACCTTGGGAAGATAATACTGAGAAGCGTTGGTAAATCCAATGGCACACATGAAAACATTACAAATAGGAATTTAGAAAATAAAATGTATCAAAAATATGAGGCAGGGCCAGGAGGTGGCATGGTGGTTATGTCACTGGACTCCTACATGGCTGGTCATGGTTTGAGTCTTAGACATGGTGGCTTGAAAGTCACATCAGGAATGTGTATGTGTGCCTAAAATCTCAAGAGGAGAATGGCATTGCCATCTTACCCTGGGAGAGTTCTCACTTCCCCTCTCACTGCCTCTCTTTGTCTCTCTGGTGAGCACACGCACCCTTTTGCAAAAATCTAAAAAATAAAAAGTAATTATTCATTATAGGGAAAATATTTTAAAAAATGAAATGGAATGATAATCTAGTATAGGCTGTGCAGTGAATAATCGTTATTTAACCAAAAACTGTGGTGTGACATCCTGATGGTGGGGCAGAAGAGGTCGACATTTTGTGGCAGCTAAATACCCATATACCTTAGCAGGAAATAAAAAGCAGATATGTTCTCAAAAAGAAAGATAAAGGTAAACACCAGAACAGACAGCTAATGAACTGAAACTGGGGAAAGGCCAAGGCAGGGCAGGAGGCTAGATGTCTCCTGTTGGAGGCCTTTAGTGCTCTCTGATCCTTGCCTATGTATATATGTATTTATGTATGTATTTGTTTACTAGAATTATTTTATTTAACTTTATTTATTTATTTATTTATTTATTTATTTATTTTAATTTGACCAGAGAGGAACAGATTGAGAGAGAGAGAGTGAGACAGAAAGGAGGGAAGTGAGAAAGCAAGCCGCCAGGTTGGGGACTCGAATCACAGTTAGCTCTGTGGGAGTCTAGAGTCCTTAACCACCACACCATCTGCCAGCCCGTTTTTGTCTTTTAATACTACTACTATAAAAAGTTATTAGACACACACCTTGCAACAGTTCCCTGCACTTCAGTGGGTGTGACATCAAAGCTAGGAACTGGCCCACAGGACAGTGCAAACAATGACTGAGATGCCCTCTGAATCATCAAAGGTGATGAGATGTTGGTGGGATGCTGGGCCTATCCCATTTGGATACTCTCAAAACCTGTCCTTCCTGAATGTTCTATGAAGAGAGAGCTCACTGGGAACCAGAGCTTTGGCTAAACCAGGCCAGTAGGGAGGTAGCTTGGAGCTTCCTGGGGGTTGCCTCTAAACCACTCATTCCCTGCTAAAACCCATGAAGCTAGACTTCCTATGTATTTCTAGTTCTTAAACTAATTTCTCAGAGAAATTTTTAGAACCAGGAATGGTGTAGATACTTAAGCGGAAAAGGAGATCACTTCTGTACTGCTCATTTACAGTTCCTCCTGCCAGGCTGAGGACCGAGTAGATCCCTGATGCCTGGCAACCCAGCTCCTCTGGAAGGGGCTATTGAAGGCATAATTATGGTTTCAACTTTCTCTGTGCCCAGCACTTTGTCAAGCCCTCTCTGTGCACTGCCGCATTCTATCCTTATGACATGCCTATGCAGCTAGAGGGGAGCATTTAGATGAGGAAACTGAGGCTCAGAGTAACTTGATGGAGACCACTTCACTAGCAAGAGAGGAGCTGGCATTCAAACTGAGATGTGGCTGACCCATGGGCTGTACAATTGCTGCCTAACAATGAGGTTTGGTTATGTAGGTGGATGAGTGACAAAAAAAAAAAGCACGAAAATAAGAGGTGAGTTAGAAACTAGATTGAGAACCCAGGAGACCCTCCCCACTTAGACCTGGAGCATCAGCTGTGACCCCTCCTCCCACAGCCCAAGGGTGTCACCCTGCAGCACTCACCTTCTTCAGAGAGGTTATTCTCTTTGGTCTCCTTGTCCATCTGGCAGCACCAGCCTTCCAGCCGCTCTGTTTCTGCCTGAAGTAACTTTAAGAACCAGTAGCCATCACGGCGGCAGGCCCCTGGTTGGGTAGGCTCTGCTGGAGAGCTGGAGGTCGTCTCGAGCCAGGGGTCGGGTGGGGGCAGCGAGGATGCCTCCAGGGCAGGGTCGCTGTTATCTCCATAGGAGAGGTTGCGCTTGATCTGGGCAATCTTGGGGGGCTGCCGGGGGCCAGCATCAATGCTGATGGAGTTGGGGTGTGGGGTGCAGTCTGGTAGGCTCCTTTCGGATGACTTACAGCTTGAGTCATTGGCATCCTGGGTATCCGAGTCAGTGTCCCGTCGGGAGGACATACTGTGAGAAGGAGCGCTGCTTCTGTGGATGGGAAATGGGAAGGATGGGGACAAGGAGAAGTAAATCACCAAGACGGACGGGGACCAGAGGCCACCCCGACCTGGACACCCAGGAGACAGAGAAACGGATGCACCATCTGCTCACCATGCGCCTGAAGCGGGTCCCACAGCCCCGTCTCATTCTTGGCTCAGCCCTTGCCCCATCCCACCCATACCCACACACACACACACACACGAGGACACGGTCATAAGGTTGCCTGTTTACTGCAGTGGGGCCAAGAAGACCCCCAACATCAGGGTAGTGGGGCCATTCCAGCTAGACCCCCCCATGGGCTGACTGGTCTCAGAGCAACTGCTCATCTGTCCACCCACCTGCCCGCCACCCCCACGCCTGGGCCACCGCCCGCACCCCAAACCCAGCTTGGTTATTAGAAATCCAGCAAGGAGAAGTGGGTTAGGGAGAGCAGGAGAGGTGAGCGGAGGGAGGGAGAGGAGAGGGGAAGCAGCCGCCACCTCTGTCCGACTTACCGCCAGTCGTCCTCTACCTGAACCCCGATGGACTGGAATTTGGTAGCGGGACTGGGCTCCTCTTTTGGCACTGGCTGAATGCAGTCAACCTTATTGAAGGACAACGACAGCAACGGCACAGAGACAAAGACAAAAATAAAGAACAAACACCACACTTGCTGCTGAAATTCACATTAGTGGGATGACACAAACAGACGTGTGGACAGACGGATACGAGGCATGCGGACACTGCACGTGGGCCCGAGGCCGGACCAGGTTAAGCCGGGCACTGCTCATTCGCGCGGAGGCGGGCGGGCAGGTGGGCAGGAGGTGGGATGGGGTGGAGAT